AAAAACTATCCAGTAGTTTTTGTCATGCCCTAGCCTATCTACCATGAAAATATGAGCGAAATCGAATTTTCGACCCTTGCCGAGTTATTTTCCATTGTTCTGGACAGGGACTCTTAAGTTTCTCCAAAAATTGTTCCAGACAATCGGCTATTAGACGAGCGAAATGTGTTGCTTTGTTCGTCACGTTTCGTTGTTTTAAGAGCTCTAGTAGTTACTGTCTATTCTCCTTTGGAAACTGTCCTTATAATTCTTCAAGTTCGTATCATGATAATTACACAGAGTCGGCCTTCAGAATTCAAGACAAATCACAGGTTCGACGTTACGCAGAAGGTTTTTGTGCTCGTCGAGCGTTCAGCCAAACGAGTCTCTTGTATGCTGAGTAACCAGGCAAATTACTTGTGTGCGTGTTGACGGTACGCAAAATGGCAAAATAACATTTCACACAAATCAAAAAAAGAGGAAAAAAAAAAAAAAACGCTAACTGACCGAGTATTTACATGACGGCAAACAACAAACATAACAGCAAAAAACGCGTGCATTCTGTAAACGTAGAATATAGGAAGAGAGAAGTAAAAACCAGTAGCAAAACCACGCGCAAATTCTGGGTACGTTGAATATTGTGACATAGAAATTGTTGAGTGAACAGTGATTGAAAAATCTATCTAATCTATCAGATTAAAAGAGGTTCTTGTTTGTCGAATGCAATTACAAACAAAATACTCTTCAACGGTTAGCATAAGTAGCAGCTATAGACGTTAGGATAAAATTTTCACTCTTCAGCAAATACATCCAAAATTCAGCTTACACGCAAACAAATACGGTGTAAAGGGGAACTCGTTCCTTTATATATCCTACTTTTCCGACTAATCGGCCATGCGAATTCTACATGTGAACCAAGAGTAGGAAATAGAATAGTAAGAAAATAGCCAAAATATTGCAAAAACTCCAATTTCATGCAGGAATAATGACTTATCAGTACTGATAGTTTTTCGTCTTTTTCTTTTTCTTCTTTCAAACTTCTCCTTCCGCTCAGGTTAGGTAAGTATGGCTGTTAAGAAATAGTTTTTATTTCAGAGTAAACACGGATGACTTGAGATTTTCTTTTTTCCCCTTTTTTAGCGTTACGAGGTAGTTGCCTTCAGACTGGGCAGTGATTGGTGAAAAGGGAAGTGATTTGTGAAAACAGTCTACTCACGAGATATACTCAAACGTTTTGAGTTTTGATGGTCAAAACTATAAATTAATTATTTTAGTGTTCCTTTAGACAGTTTCAACAGTACTCACTATACTAAAATTATGGTATTCCCACCTCCCGGCACTCTTCTCGATACAAAGCAGTTATATTTAGCAAAATTCTACTTTATTTTCTTACATGGCACGCTTTTAAGCACAACAGTTTAAAAAAGCTATTGCTGTCAAGTGTACTCATTACAAAATGAATTGGGTCAATAGTCTACTTTCGTACATGAAATGCTTCTATTGATGACTTCACACGATATTTTAAAGAAAAAAAAACTATCGCTGACAAGTATACTGTTTAAAAAATCACTTGTTTTGTAGTCTACGTTAATTAAACAGTTCTTTTTCTCACATGACACGCTTTTAAAACTACCCAACAGTGCAAGAAAGCTATTGCTGAAATTGTACTGATTACAAAATGAATTGCGTCCGTAGTCTACTTTCGGACATGGAAGGCTTCTACCGTTGACTTCACATAATAGTTTACAGAAAAAAAAGCTATCACTGACAAGTATACTGCTTTTGTAGTGTTGCTATTAGCCAGCTCTTCGTCAGAGAATAATGTGTCGATGCACGCCATGGCAGAGGATATCATTTCTTTGCCAAAGACGACGATGGCCTCCACTTTCTGCTTCTGCTGGTCTGAAGGTCCAAGACTCGGGATGCTGCGGAAGACATGTGAATTTCTATCGATGGTGGACAAAGGAGACCGAATCTGAGGTGGAGGATAGGTGGGGGGTGATAACGGAGCGGAAAGTGGCTGAGGAACTTGGGGTTCTGGCACAATAATAGGTGAAGTGATGGCAGCGGGAGGAGCTTGAGGAGGTGTTTCCTCAACGACGTCGACATCGTCCTGATTGATGAACGTGAGATCCGAGTCGCTCAACACCGGTAGACTGGGTATCTTTTCTCTAGCCTTCATCTCGGTCAGCTCTGCAACAATTTTTGTAAGGCTTTTTACTTGATCTCGCAGGTCCTCCATGATGTCTGGAATATCGGTCTGAACTGCTACCTCCACTGTTCGAGGGGATCTCGTGTGTTGGATCGCAATGTCTTTGGTCTGCGTGTTTTTTTCGACCCGTTGCAGTTTCAGACGAGCTTGTTTTTGGGCTTGTTCTGCCAGAAACGTGTTCAGCATCCGAAGCTACAAGTAAAGAATCAAAAAGGACTAATATTAGACCGTTCCACATGTGAACCAAGAGTAGGAAATAGAATTGTAAGAAACTAGCCAAAATTACGAAAAATGGCGAAAACTCCAATTTCATACAGGAATAACGATATATCCGTACTGATAATTTTCCGTCTTTTTCTTTTTCATCTTTCAAACTTCTCCTTCAGCTCAGGTTAGGTAAGTATGGCTGTTAAGAAACAGTTTTTATTTCAAAGGCAACACGGATGACTTTTGCTTTTCTTTCTTCCCATTTTTCAGCGTTACGAGGTAAGTGTCTTCAGACGGGGCAGTGATTGGTGAAAAGGGAGGTGATTGATGAAAACTGTCTCTACTCACGAGATATGCTCAGAAGTTTTGGCACAAACGGTCCAGTTTTGGCAGAAACGAGTTCAGAATCTGAAGCTACAAATCAATAATAAAAGAGAACTAAAAATAGACCCTTCCACTTTCTAAAAAATCTTCTTCCCAAACAGACCCACGGTTTTCTATTAAGGTGGCTTACTACAGTTTTTTTTCTGAGACTCAATAGCGCGCGCTACTCTTGCCTGCCAATCGTATTAATCGCGCTTTCAAAAATGACGCAAGTAACCTTAGAAGAAACGAAATCACTTCAGCACTTGAAAGGCGTTAAATCACTTCGGTATAAGTAGCAATAGTTTCAAACTCCGTTCAAACATGTGTTTAAACCTAGGGCCAAAATAATATGACAAAAAAAGCTCTATAAATAACCGGTAAAAGAGCTCTAATTTACTTTTGCTTTCTCGCACGCGATACATACCGTCACATGAGCGCGCCCCTAAATGAATAGCTTCGCGTGACACCACGCGTGTTTTTCTGATTTTTGTGACGTCAGCGTGACCAAATAAATGCTAATTTTCTCGCGTTCCCTGCGGTGAATTTTTTTTTAATTTGAGTCAGTTCTAACCACCTACAATTCCTACAAAATACCCCATTTTTGTGAAAATCTGTCAGAGCTAATCTAAAATATTTAGAAGAATGACAAATTACAGAATATTGGAAAAACCGCTGAACAACCTTGACAAAAAGTCAATTTGGGATACGACACTAGCAGGTAAGCTACATTTTGCTATTTTTTTAGTTACAAGAAAACTCCTTCAGTGTTAACAGACACTTTCCAGTAAAAGTAACGGCCACAAAGCTGCGCATAACAAAGAGTTAGCATTCTAAATATTCGTTTTCGTTGGTTATAGTGGTGCCAAGATGTAGATTAAATGACTGTACACACATTCAGAGAGTTGCTTCACATATAATCAAGAAAAACCTCTGGGACCAGGGAAACAGCTCTACGAATTAGAATTAAAGCCAACTGCTTTTGGACGCGTTTTCCAGTCAGCAAAGCTGTATCATAAGTGATCGATAAGCACTTTGCCAGTTACATGTAACCTTATAGTGATTTCTTAACGATGATGTTAGCCTTCTTTCCCCAAGCATGCTTTTCTTTTCGCTCGTCGGGACTACTATGAGACTGGAAAATGCTAAATTTAGCGGCGTCCGGATACCGATGAGTCAAACAGTGAAGCAGGAGTTGTCAGGAAAGTTATAAGTATAAGATAAACGTTGCAGTTTGTGAAGTAATCGGAAGATGTTTCGTTACTATAGTTTGTGCACTCTTAGTAGTCCTGTTTTTTTTCACCACAGGAATCCGGACGTTTCGTACCCATGGATGTTACATACCCAAAACTAACAAAAGACTTAGTTTGAAGTTAATTTATATACAGAACAGTGTTTCCATTACCTAAATTAAACAATTTCGATTTTGTTTTCCCGAGGCTGGAGATCACGTAACAGCCGCATTTAACTACATAAGTAAGCGTAAATTGTTGCGCACGATGCGTATGACCATAATTGCTCAACATCATGAAATAAACCAACAGTATCACAGGTACTTGAAATTCTGGGCTGTTATTTAAGGAATCTAATTTGCTCACAATTTCACTTGGAAATACCAGGTTTTGATATTTTATTTCGAAGACCCTACTTAACCGAATTAGAACATACTGTTTGAAACAAAAAACTTGGCAACTGCACAGGTACAAATCGTCCAAGTTGGGTACGAATGATCTGGGTACGAACCGTCCGTGGATACGAACTGCGTCGGGTAAGCACACCACGCAATAATTAAGTTAGCTTAAACCAGCTTTCCTCCGCGTCACCTGAAGGCTTTCCTCTCTCGGCCGGAGCAACTGAATTATCGGGAGAAGGCTGGTCATCTCTGGTTCGCTTCTTGCTAGACGGAGGATCATCGAATAAACCTGCATTCGCCGGATCTTCAACGAACTTGGTTTCCTCTTCGTTTAACTTCTCTCTGTTGTCTACAAACGAACAAGCAAACCAGTTGGTTAACTAACAAAATACAAACCGAAATACGGTTTACCGAATCACTGGAAATCGAAGATTATCGCACACTAGTTAGAATTAAACGAAAAGGCGTGTCCTTACCATCCGAGGCAATAACCATTGCTTCCAAGCATTTCCCTCCATTTTTAAGCGCAACTGCTGCTCTTTTTTCCGGCCCATTCTCAGTAAACGGCTCTCCGGTCTCCTTATTTCTCAGCTTTTTTGTCTCGACAACGCAAGTACTTTTATCGATACTAAAGTAGACGAGGCACAGTTTTGAAACCTTGGTAAGGCGACGAAATGACATTTTTCTTGATAGCAAGATCACGAGTCGAGTGTGTAGAACAAGTGGTTATTCCAAGCGCTTTATACAAGTTGTTCACGCAAGTGAGTTTTTTGTTTACCAATAAGCAACAGCTCGTTCAGTTTTTGTTTTCCCAATTGACAATAGCTTTACCAAAAGTGTGACAAGTAAGAGGTGACAACTTTTACCATTCTTCCCGTAACAATAACACTTCATTATGTATCTGTGATACTTTTCGTAGCGGCTATCCATTTTTCATTTTTCACTTCAAGATTGTCTTTATTTAACCTCGTGAGAACGGAAAATTAGCGGAACAACCAAGACAGATGCGCCAAACAAATTTCGTTATTTTGATTCATTTTCTGCCGGAGGTGGTCTGTTCGGCACGTGTGAAGTTTGACGTATGAATCGAAGTCAATCTTTTTCCGTTCTATTTGACCAGCTCAGTCAAATAGTATGGCACAGTCGACCCAAATACAAAAGTGCCATTCCTAATTAATTCATACGTCGAACTTTATATGTGCCGAACCTAATAACTAGGTTCGGCACGTGTAAAATTCGACGTTTGAACCGGGGCGGTGTTAAGGTTTTGTTCTTTTGTTTATAAAAGCCTGAATAGGTTTAAAAAGGGTATGATAAGTACTGGAGGTGATTATTTTTCCCTCTCCTGAAGAAACAATGCTTTTTTATTACTGCCGAAACACCTAACTTTTTTTTCTCGCAAACTTTGAATGTTAGTTAACTTTTTATCGTAGTCAATAACCAAAATGCAAAGTTTCCATTTGCGTTTAGAAACGCAGCACATAGCAGAAGCAAACCCAAGTTTAACTTGCGCATACAAAATTGCTTTCCAGTTTCTTCAGTTCGAAAACTAAAAGAGATAATTAATCGAATATATGATTAGCCTGCAAAACAGGCTTTATTGTGTACCCATTTGTCAGGCGAGCGAGGGCAAGCGTGATGCGCGAGAAACGCTTACCATAATTATTTATATTTAATTTTCCATTCCGCGCTTCTAGTTATTGTAGTTGTGATAAATGTTTTTGTCAATAGAGAGTTTAAGCATGACGTTTCCGAAGACGGCAAACGGCAAAAATTGCCTCTGAATTTTTATTCTTTTCTCGTAATCCTTAACTAAATGGCACAAATACAGAAAAATGTCTCCTACTATTCACCGCAAATACAAATATTTTTGATTTACTGTACAAATAGGTGAAGACAGAGCTGCAGAGGGCAAAATTTTCATGTCACAGTCGCCGTTTGACGTTAGGTCATGCTTAATCTCTCTAATATCTTTTGCCGGCAGGCGTTAATTAGCCAAGCGAAAAGTGGGGTCAGTGGGGAATATAGTGGGAGAGGTGATCAGGGATATTAAGGCACTACTTTTTTTTCTTCACAAAATGGCACCAATCTCTTCTGCTTCGCATTTGGCTAAATTGCGGATCTTGCCCTTTTTTTGTCAGAGAGTCGTCAACTTCGATATTTTCTAACAACCTATAAATCTGATCTCACTTTCAGGGTCTGCTACTTTCGGAAATTTACGTTATTTTAACACAACAACAGTATATATCATTGTGTGTTATTTGCATTTATTTACATTGTTTGTTCGATGCACAAAGAGCGAGCCTTAATTTTTACACATAGTTTCGAAATATAACGAAATATTACAGTCCTACGATTCTAGCGGAGCGACCAAATTTTCAGTTCCATCGCGGCAAAATTCTCGGATTCCTTGTAAAGATAGTCGGCCCGTTCTCGGCTGATACCCTGCGGCTTTACAATGTCCGGGAGCTGACCAGGCTCTGGAAGAAAATTTCGATTTCTTAGTAGATTTACAGCCTTTTCCTCTGAGTCCCAGTACTGCTTGCAAAAGACTCTTCCAGGATGTTCTTTGTCGAATCTAAAGTGATAGAAACTCTTAATTTGGGGCAGTTTCTTGAAGTATTGTCCAAGGTAAACGACCCAGTCGTAAGTTGCAATAAGAACAGTTCCATTATGGAGTCCCACTAGCTCCGCTACATTTACTGCAGCAGAATCTTCCACTGTTCTTGCGATGTCAAATAAAGAAGAAATAAATGTGCGTCTCGTCTTTTGTTTCACTAGCCTTAAGCACCAGTCAGGCGCAAACTTGGTATGTCCGGGCAGTAAAAAGTCATAATTAATAGAATCATGGAGTCCGCTCATCACTCGTCACAGGTAGTACCATATAGAGGCAGAGTTCTTATTCTGTGCACCGCAATTATCTGCAGGCAGCTGGGCTTTGGTTTCACCAAGTCCGTGGCGATGAAAAAAGTAATGAACATAAGAAATGGTGCTGTTTGCTCCTTTGCCGCTTAGTACACTTTCATCAATGAGGAAGTTTACTTGTCGTGGAATTGCTTCGCAGCAAACACCAAAAAGAGCACATTTTCGCGGTGTTTTAAAATAAATTGGGCCAGGTTGATTGGGTCGGCAGGAAAATGCAGCTGCTGTGCATAGTCATAGGAATAGTGAACTGTTCCATCATATGAGCAGGGCTCGCGTTCGACTGTAAAATCAACAACTTTTAAATATTCCTGAATTCCATCTTTTGATTCTCGACAACAGTTCTTGTAAAAGTTCCTTTCTCCTCTTGCAAGGAGTAAGTGCTGTTCTTGTGCTCCCACTGCTTCGGCCTTGTCGCTTTCTGGTAGGTTCACACTGTTTCCAATACGATTATTATTTTCCTGACAAGTCCAGCATAAATCGATAGCAGGCCGCATAATGACAATGAAAGGACACAGCTGATTCCAAAGATCACAGAATTTAGAATATCCCACGGACGGTTTGCCCGTGCTTACGCAGATATCCGTATATGTTCTCCAGAGCCCATGTTTTATAAGATTCGATGGCAGGAGCTTGACGTCGATTCTTTTAAAACCAGGTACACGTCCCGGCAAAAGGAGGGCTTGTTCTTTCGCTGTATTCAAAATGAATTTTACAACTTGCTCAATTGTCTCGGCAGAAGATGTACTACT